GGCTTCATGCAGTTGCTGTTTACCTGTCTTCCCCTATCAGGTGAGCTCTGGGAGGCAGGGATGCTAAGCATCTGGGTCACCACTACATCTCCAGTGCTTGGAACAGAGCGTGGCACGTGGAAGGCTCTGAGTGAGTCTTTTTTTTTTTTTTTTTTTAAATGGAAGCTCAGAAGCCTGATTTCTGAGCCTCAGGGTGGTTCTGAGCCATCACGTGTGTTTTTCCCAGTCCACAAGCAATTTAGCTCTGTCTTGCCCGCGCAGCGTCCTCCCTGCTTTGTTAGATTCTGTGCCTCTGCCTCCGCCCCACCAGCCCAGTCCAGTGCATGCACCGCTGACACCAGGCACGACCCGCAGATGGCCGAGCGCCTCTGTGCCCGGTAGGTGGTGCTATGGGGAAGAGAAAAGGAGTCGCCTTCTTGAGGAGGTCAGGCTGCCCCTGAGCATGGCCGGGACAGGACATGGGGGCTTGAGCTGAGAAGCTCCCTGCCAGCCTGCAGTCCTTCTCTCAACCCTCTCCAGGTGTGAGCAGGTGTCTGTGGGACAGGAGAGAGAGCAGGAGTGGGTGAGTCCAGACTAGCTGCCCTGGGGCCCAGGTGTCCTAAGTTAGTCATGGCAGTGGGGCTGGGCGTGGTGGGGACATCCCTTACTGTGTTACTGTCGGGTCAGCACCTGCTGGTTCATGTTTATACAGGGCTAGCCCAGATACCTGCCTGTTGGCCTGGTGTCTCCCGTCCAACACACACACACACGGACTCAAGCACACACTGTGGACAGTGGGGCTACAGAGTGGGCAGGCTGTGGGCACTGGCTTTCTCATGTTCTAGTTTTCTAGAAGAGTCCCTTGGGTTGTCAATTCCTCTGGCATGGAGGGCCACCTGCTTTCCCTCCATGCCCTCAGCACCATACTCATGTCTTGTGCATGTAGGTGCTCAGGGTAGCCAACCACCCATGTCTGTCCAGGACTGAGGGGGTTCTCAGGATTCAAGTTGTTTAGCATTAAAGTTTGGACAGTGCCAGGCAAACCAAGATGAGCTGGTTTCCCTAACAGAAGGAGGAGGCCTTTCAGGTGACCCCAGAGGCCAGCACCCTCCTTTGTCCCTGCCTCAGGGGGCATACTGGCTGGCTGACTATGAGATGTCTCAGACTTCAGTGTGGTGGGCCCGTGAAATCATGCAAGGCCATGACAGGGCTCAGAAGCAGTCATCTGTCAGCTCTCATGCTGACAGGAGACTACACTGGCTGCTGTAAGAGGGTCACAGACCCTGGGACCAGTGCAGTGCTACTTGAACAGGGCAGTCAGAGCCCAAGCTGCAGCACTTAGAAAATGAGGGCTTGATATCCTAGGGGGCTTCGAGGAGGAGGCCAGTTTGTAAGCTGTGGTTTCACAGACCCAAACAGGTACAATGGATTGTCAGGTAGATCACTTGGGTACAGTAAAGAAAGGAGGTCTAGATGGAAAGAAATAAGGAATAAAGAGGAAACAGGCTACACCCTCCCCGGGAAGAATGGGATTGGAAGGCAGTGAGGAATTACTGTAAGGTGCCATTCAGGGCTGAAGTTTTGTGGGCCCCAACTATACTAATAGAACTTCGTGTTTGAGGAGCCATGTCTCATCGCTTAATTGTCCTCCTCCTTTTCTTTAGTTTCATGCTGTGTTGGTCCCCAGGAGTCTTCCCCTGTCCCCCCCCACCCCAAAAAGCCATTCAAGAGTGTTCTAGAAGCCAAAGAACTTCCTGCCTCCTAACCTTGAGGACAGGTCTTCTGAATCTCCTTGCCTTGGGGGCTCCTTGCCCCCATATTCTGCTTCTGCCCAGGAGTTGGATGTAGAAGGGCTGGCAGGTGCTGCTTGCCTCTCCCTTGCATACCTGTCAATAACGGGACACGACATGTCCAAAGGTAGCTCCTGTCACCACCCAGAAGTTCTCATCGTAAGAAAGCTTAAACTGAGCCCAATCTGTGGCTTCTGCCCATGGACCCGAGCTCTGCTCCTTGGCACTTCACAGAACTCTTATCCCTCTCGTAAAAGCATTTAAGATATTTGAGGATGGCTGCCCTTAGGTATTTTTTTTCTAGACTAAACATCATAGTTTCTGAAAGTCTTTAGGTGGGCTTGATGTGCCACACTGCCATGCCACCCTGGTCTCTCGTGCCACCTCGGTCTGTAGATCCTTAGCACAGCAGGTTCTCAGTAAATACCTATTAAATGAGTGGGCAAACCCACACCCTCTGTGCATACTTGTCAGCTTTTAAAAGTTTTCTTCCTGGCATGTGGAGCCTGCAGAAGCTGCTGCCACTCACTGACTCTCCTGGCAGCTGGAGTCCCTGACGTCTGAGACTTGAAAACTCCCCTCCTCCCTTTCTGAAGCACTTCAGCCCAGATGCAAACAGCTGGGGTAGTCTGGCTGCTATGTCTTTGCTGTCCCCATGGCCTCTGGACTTTGTGGTCTTGGTCTAGGTCTGTGGCCTGGGCAGGGGCTAGGGCAGAGTGTGAAAGCAGGAGACAATGCTGGATGAAAGCCATTAGCTCCCCTGTCTGCAATCTGCAGACTTGTCCCTCCCCATCTGTGAGGCCTGCACTGTAATCAGCACAGTGTTCTTCTACCTGATCCCTGGGCTGGGCTGTCCCCATGTATTAGCTTTATGCTTCCTCTCAGCACCTGTATCTGATCTTGAATTCCAGTTTGCACATGCCTTTAGTGCTGGAGAGAAGAGACATTTCCTGGGCTCAAGCCAAGCTGGAGAAGGGGATGTGAATTTCCCTCAGCTGAATCAGAAACTTCTCTGATGGAAGGCCTCTCTGCTGGCTGGGGCTCTGGGGCGCAGCTGGGTCCTGGAGAGCAACTGATTTATTCCAGGTTTGGAAAAAGAATGAGAAAACCTATTTTACCTATTTTGACCAGGCAGGGAGTCAAGAGAGCTATGATTTAGGTATCTGGAGATGTTCAGAGACTTGAGCCATTCAGGAGATTTTCAGAAAGGTGGTCTTGGTGCATGTGGCCTACAGAAAATACAGATCCTAGTTTTCCAGGGATGCTGGCTGCCTGGTCCACCACTGTCTCTCCAGCACCTGATGTGGTTCCTGGCACCTAGTAGGTGATCAAGGAGCATTCGTTAGAGGTAAATGAATAAGTGAATGAATGAAGGAGAAAACAGCTTCTGGAAATCTCTTCAGCATGGCATTTTGATTATGCAAGAGCCCGGTTCTGGAGTCAGAGGGACTTGGGGTAGAATCCTGACTTCACCACTTACTGACTTTATGAACCCCTTGGACAATGTATGTGAAGCTTAGGGCCTGGCCCATGCCACTCAAAGACTCAGTGTGTGGTGCTCCATGATGCTTCTTGAAATATCCCCTCAAATCAACCCTTAGTTCTCAGTCTCCTTAGACAATTGAGCAGACAGGGCAATTGCAGTGTAGGAAGACCCCTGGCTCAGGCCAACAGCTGAGACTTAGACCTCCACACGACTTTCAGGGAGGGGCTTCCCTGTCCTTCCTCCTCTTCCTATGCTGAGAAGGGCACCAGGGAAATTGGGGGGGAGTCTGACCCTGGATATAGCTTCCTCTGTGCACTACTGATGAAGCAGGTATTGGCTCTCAGTCCTGTACCTCCTCAGTCCTTTCACACCACCCAGAGGCCACAGCCTGTCTCCTTCACAGGTTCAGGCTGTTACCCATGGTGCCTGCTTTCCTGAAACTGGTCAGATGGCAGGACAGACAATTTTAGTTTTGGAGTCTGTGTTCATCTCAGAGGCATACTTTGTTCTCCCCCTGACATAGATGCTATGCTTGTAGGTGTAACGGGTTGATTTGGGCTCCCCCTTCCACATAACTCACCTCCTCTCCATTTTAGCCCTTTCCTCTGGAAAGCAAGGATCAGAGGGAAAAGTTACTACAGTGGAAAGAATACCAGACCTGAAGATTTGGGGACGTGCAGGTCCTATCTCCTTGCTGAATTTGCTCTTGTGTCAAGCTAACAGGTGAACCTATGAGATGTTGTGGGTGGGGTGGTCCAGGTGACCTTAAGGGGCCTCTCTCAGTACTACTGTCCTATGCACCTGTGAGGTCTGTTTTTCATTCCTGCTTTAGAACCTCCTGACCAAGGGAGAAGACCATTATTACAAGGACAGCAGGTGGTTTGATGGAGGGGACAAAAGAGCACTCATCGAGTCAGAGATTGGCCTAGAATCAGCTTTATTATATGTTTTATCTTCACCAGGGAGAAGAAGGCATGAGAGCTGGAGAACAGACCAGCCACATCACACAGACACAAACCGCATCGTTGAAGAGTGCCGTGCTGAGAACACGGCCCTCAGAGGCCAGCTGCAAGGCACAGAGATCAACAAGAACCACAAACACCCATCCCGTCTTTCCTTATTTACCAATATTTTACATTTTTGCTTTGTTTTTTAAAGGCACAATCAACATTTCAATGGCTAACCATTTGCTGTTCTTTTTTATGATGCAGAGATGAAATCGCTCTATTTTTGACTTTTGCAACACTATCAACCTCTTCTCAACACTCATGGTGGTGGTGATGATAAAAGGAAAGTCCACCAGAATTCAGTCTGTTTTGAGTCTCGAATGAGAGTCTGACACTCTGAGAGATGAATGAAGGCACCCTTGGCTGTCATGCACCCAGGACTGGATGAATTTTTGTCCCAAGGGAGCTGTGCTAAGCTCCTTTGGTCTACCCTTATAATCACACAATCCCTACATTTGAGATCTTCCATCAGACTGCTGAGAAAAATCTAATTCACAGAGGTCGTTGAAATACAGAGAGAACTGTCTTCAGAGACAAAGACCAAGTCCTGGAATACAGAGGAAGCCAGGAGGCAAGAAGGGTCATTGCAAACAGAGGTGCCCTCAGAGGGGGGCCAACAGGACTGGGCTGGGGACAGGGTGTCGTCTGACAGCACCCACAGAGGGAGGCCAACACAGCTGAGCTGGGGTTGGGGTGTCGTCTGACGGCTGCTTCTTACCCCAGATGCCGTGTGAGCAGCTACTTCCCCTTGCCAGGGGGTGAGCATTTCTCCTGGACTTCCTGTGGACAGACCTCCACGTGTTTTGTCTGGAATGGCTCTTGGCAAGGCTCTACACGCTGAGGTGGGCACTGGTCTTGGCACAGAGGTAGGCATGGACCTTGGCTTTGCTGTGGGCAGTCTCCCTGGCTTAGCTCCTGGCACTGAGGAAGGCACACCTCCTGAGCTGGTGCTGGGCACTGCTCTTGGCAGGGGTCCTGGCATGAAGGGAGGCACACTTCCTCAGCTTTTGCTGGGCATTGCTCTTGGGTGTTTTGAAGACATGGAGGGGGCACACATGGCTGCTTGCACTGCTGCTCACTGAAGGACATCTTGGGATGATTTGCAGAATCTGAAAGAAACACAAGATTTGAAATAATCTGCATTAAAAGAACTAGGCCAGGAACTTGGAGGCAGAAGCTTTGAGAGGGGGGAACGGACTGAGTGATTGTTAAGGCTGAGAACTCAGTTCTCAGCTGTTTTTACCCCTTTTATTGTCCATCCTACCTCAGCTCCCCTGTCACCTGTCTCCTGGGTGACAATGTCCCCCGTTTGTCTGGATATCCCCCAGCCCCGGCCCACCCCACATCTTCTCCTCTTCTATTTGGTGAATCAATTTGAAGATCAGGTGCAAGAGTACCTGGTGTACAGAGGATGGTCTGAAAGGCCCATGATATGGCTAACCACTTAGCAATGAGTAGAAAGCACAGTCCAGGGGAGGAACTGGACAGCGGCCTCCCAAAAACAGCAGCAGGGAGGATGGCATAGATATTCCCACTTACCTGATCTAGTGAGACCCAACAAAGGACACGGAATACATGTCTAGCCCAGCAAAGTGGGGACTTTTATATAGTACCTGGTCCAGCCTCTCATGGGACTGACTGGACATGTGGTCTGAGGTGCTAATTGTGGAGTCATCATAACGAGCTTCCTCTGAAATTGCTGAGGGTTTGAGTCACAGCTTGGGATGCCTGTTAATCAGACTACATTTGGCCTCTAGGTCCTCACCAAACCTCAGCAGGGTGGGGCTCCTCTCAGATCCCTCTCATCAGAGGCAGCAGGAAAGGAATGTTCGTAAAATGTTATCTCCATCTGTTAAGCCATAGCTGGGGTTCCCTGTCTGCCCAAACTGGTTCAGGACATAGAGAGAGATAAGATCCACCAAGCTCATCTTATCTTCACCAGCAGGAAGACTTTGAGCCTGCAGCCTGGGGTCTGTCTGGGTCACACTTGAATGGCCAGTTTCCGGCATTTCCACTGGATGTCTCATTACAGAGCCTGCAAGGCCACACTTTGCATGTAAGGAAGATGGCTCACTGTGCCATCATGGGCAAGCAGAGGCCTTCGGCTTCCCAGAGAGTGGGATTATCCTGCATGGTGGTCTTGAAGGGAGTTGGAATTTGGGTTAGAAAATGGGTGGGGGGAGGGAGAAAGCAGGCCATGTCCATCTTCTGGACCTCAATCATCACCCCCTAAGAGTGGGCCTGCTCACAGAGACTGCAGAGTGAGCAAGAAGAGGCTGGAGCCAAGTTAGCCTGTCTCCTCACCTCTGGAAAGGGCTCACTCAGGCAAGGAGGGTAAGGGAGGGTGCTTCTGTCATCCAGGGGATGAAAGGAAAAGTTCCAGATCAAACACACTAAACTTCTTATCAGTCCTGGCTGTCACTCTCACCTGGTGTGCCCTCCGTGAGCATTCTTCAAAGTTCCAGTCAAGTTCCCCACCTTCCTAGGCCTTTTCTGGTTATTCTAAACAAGAAATTGAATTCACCTCTTTATGAACTCCCACCAGATCTGGTGCTATTTATGTGACATTTACTATTGCTGTTAGGACTTCCAGTTATTTATGTACAAGATCTTATTGTTCTCCTAGGTTGTAAGTTCCTAGCAGGTAGGGAGTACACCATGGATATAGGGCATGAAGCTGATGGCAGGTGAATAAGACTTGTGGAGTAAATGCTCTAACGAGAGGGTGAAGACGGTAGATGTTGGAGACAGCTGGGAGTAGAGGGAGGTCTCATCTAAGTGAAAATGGGAAGATAATCATATTGCAAGAAGACCCTAGTCCATACAGTGGTGGCTTTGCGTTTGTTTGCTAATGGTGACCATAGTACAGGGGCTTTAAGTGTGACAATTTTCTCCTCACCATTACTCGCAAACCCCTTAACTTAGAGAGGTAGGTTTGGGTCATTTCCTAAGAAAGATATTTGGCTAAAATCAGAAATGCCTTTAAATGTTTATATAGGTTTGTGTGTGAAACCTGGAAAGTTTTTAAAATGTGAGCTGGGAAGACCAGCTGGCATTTTGGGCCTTTCAGACTGGTGTGTGGAGGACTGATGTCACACCAATGGGGCGACTGGGTGTAGGATGGGGGGCTCTGCTCCTCCTGTTCCTTCTTTTATCCTCCGTTTACTGTTCCTCCTTCTGTTTCTCCTCTCCATCCTTGTCTCCTTCCTCTTCTCTGTGGAATGCTTTTCAGAGACAAAGGAATCCTCGTGTTTGCTGTTGCTGAGTTGACTGATTTATCCTATCTGTCACTTACGGCCCCAGTGTGGTGTCAGACTCCTCCTTTACACAATGGCTTACAGTTTCACGGAGAAGTTGAGGAGGGAAGCCCCACGGCCCAGAAGGCCCCTCACTGGTCTAGGGGGAAGGGCCTGTAAGGTTCCCTGAGGGAGGGGTGTCTGGACTTCAGCTCCCTGGACAGCAGGGGCTACTCTGGCGAGGAGGGCAGGGTGCTTCCAGAAGGAAGCCTTGGTAGGAGAAACCTGAGTGAGATGGAAGGAGAGACTGAGGCTGTCTCAGGAAAGGGAAAGGTGAGGAGTTGGGGGGAAGACACCTGCTTGGTTGGGATTTCCAGAAGTTTCCTGAAACAGGTTGTACATGGTGACCTTGTCTGCGCTACATGCATCTGTGTGGCTTTGGATAAGCCTAAGGACAAGGCAGCTAAATGGGGATGTGCAGAACAGTGGGGAAACAGGTCATGTTTTCATGGAGGATGCTGAGCCCAGACTTTGGCTCAAACTTTGGCTACTCTCAAAGGACTTCCTGCTTGTCATTGAGTTGATTCATAGCGGGGAAGCATTCTTGAAATTGAACTCAAAGTCCTTCTGTGTTAGGAAGATGCCCACAGCCCAGTCTATTAAATTTGTGAGTATGTTAGGTTATTAGGCAGAAGAAAAGGAAGTGAGTGCATCCAGGTGGGGACAGTGTGATCATAGGCTCCTTAAAAGTGGAAAAGAAGAGTGTCACAGTGATGTGCATGAGAGAGCCTTGGCTGGCTGTTACCAGCTTTGAGAATGGAAGGGACTTTGGGGGCAGCTTGAAAAGGCCAGGACATGGGTTCTCCCACAGTGGCTCCAGAAAGGGACAAAGCGTGCTGGCACTTTTGGCCCAGTGACATCTGTGTCAGACTCTTGACCTCCAGGAGTTACATTTGACTGTGATACATTTTTGTTTTTTTAAGCCATTAAATTTGTGGCAATGTGCTATAGTACAATAAAAACTGAGGTGCTTTCTGAGTGTATGAAGCTCTTGGGAACTCAGGAGGAGGGAGTGCCTGAGGAATGATGAAATCTTGTTTTAGCCTTCCCTCGTGTGAGCACGTCCAGCATGTCCTCTGGGCACTCTCAATCAAAGACCAGCTCTTGGCACAGAAGGACTGAACCCAGGATCACATCAGCCTGGGCTGACTGTCACACACAGTATGTGCAACTTGGCCTCTCATAGCCTCAGTTGAGAAGAAAAATTCCATTTCACAGGTCACAGATTTCTTGTGAGACAGAGAATGTGTGCTGCAGACCAGGTCCATTGAGCCACTCACGGAGTGTTAGTGTGATCTGAATCTGTTCATGGCTCACCTCCTCCATGAAGACTTCCGTGGTTCCTCTCAGATTCTCCTTCTTTTATGTGCTGTGATCTGTCCTCGCTCGGCCTCTGACTTGTGCTTTTCTGCCTACTGTGATGCTCAGAGGCTCAGGATACCTGGCTCTGTCTTTAACAAGATGTGTGACCTTTTCTGGCCTCAGTTTCATCATCATTAAAATAGGAAGGTCAGACTTTCAGTCAGGTAAAGTCCAGCTGTGATACTGTAAGTGTGATCATAAATGATTAGCCTGGGTATCTATGGCTGTAAGTGTGTGTGCCTGCATGTGGGCACGTCCTCCTTGAGCAGATTATCATAAGCACATAGGATGGCCCAGTCTCCTGTCCTCTGTGTGTGGTAGTGGCCCAGCCACAAGACTGAGTGACTCATTTTCTCCTGGGTGCAGAGTGGGAGTATTTGGAGTCTGAGCCCTCAAAAATCAACTTTAGCAACCTAGTATCTGGGGCTATGGCCTGGACAGCTTTGGAGAGATTACCCCACCCCAAATCTTAAGATAAGATGACTGAGAAGTTTCTCTGATCATCCCCAGCCCTCCAGCAAGACTAGGGCTAATCTGATTTAATGTCATCTGAGATTTCAGATTTCTGGGCTGTCATTACTGGGAGCCAGGAAGTAATTAGACAGGCTTAGCACGAGAGACTCAGCTGTATGCAGGACATTTTCCCCCATTCTCATCAAATAGTTATCTCCTTCGTTCAGATCATAAAGTTCCCAGGCTTTTCTGAGTCACTGGCCTGCCTATTATAAGTCCAGGGCTCTGATAAAGCTGAATGGTGCTGAAGGTGGCCTGACCCTCTTCCTGGGGAGCAGGCACCTCTGGAGAGCTCTGGGACTCGTTGGGGGAGAGCTTGCCCCACCTTTCCCCTCCCTTCTCCCCTTGTTAGCACACGGGGATTTGAGTCAGGGTATGGACTCAGGGAGGGTTGTGCTTCATAAGCCCTTGTGGCCAGCAGGGACCTGTGAGGACATTGATCCCGCCTCCTTACTGTAGCCTGAGCATGTGCTTTGAGCAGGAGACATAGAATGTTTTAATGATTGCATTTTTTAGACAAGGAATGGAAGAGCAAAATTGTGAAGAGCCTTGTTCAAGGTTACATGGTGAACTTGTGTCTGGTCTGGGCAATGGTTCATGTGAGAAACATTTAGGAGGATGACACAATATTGGGGATTCTTTTTTCTTTGAGACAGAGGTTCACTCTGTCACACTGGGTAGAGCGCTGTGGCATCATAGCTCACAGAAACCTTAAACTCCTGGGCTCAAGCCATCCTCTTGCTTCAGCCTCCTGAGTAGCTGGGACTACAGGTGCCCAGCACTGTACCTGCTAGTTTTCTATATTTATTTATTTATTTATTTTGAGACAGAGTCTCACTATGTTGCCCTTGATAGAGTGCTGTGGCTTCATAGCTCATAGCAACTTCAAACTCTTGGGCTTAAGCAATTCAACTTAAG